GAATATGTTACGACATTGATGAATGTGGTATGTGAGTCTTCTTAGCAAATCTGCTGCAGATATGTAAAAAACAATTTCTGAACAAACAGTCTCAACACAAAGTTATATCAGCTTGTTGAAAAATCATTTTAACAAGACTGGTTCAGGTCTGTAACAACTGGATAACAAATTGGAAGCAATTGGTTGGCGCTCAGCCAGATACCCAACTTGTTGAAACAACTTTTTAAAAAGTCTGCTGCAGCTTTGTAATAACCTGGGGCGAGTTGTACGAAGGCCGGATAGCGCTATCCGTGGTTTCACAGTTTTTCTAGCATTTTTTCAAAGGTTGAAAAAATCACTATCCGGTGGATAGCGCTATCCAGCCTTCGTACAACCGGCCCCTGTATGTTATTAAATGTGAATGCAATACCAAACTGATGCAATCCCAATATTTGTTTATCTCAGGTTTGAGAATGGACTGGCCATTGGAGGACAAAACATTTAGCCGTACTTGCCCTACTTGTCGACAGCTCGTTGCAAGCTCAGCGCTGATTCTACCAATGAATTCAACTGTGAGTCTGGAAAATGAAACATATTTCAATGGAACATGTTTGTCTCAGCCAAATCTTTGCATCAACGGATTGACATTTGGTATTTGGATTTGGTTTGCGGAGTATGACAATAACACTTCAAATGAACCAGAGAGCACAATTTTACAATCTGGTGTTGAGTCAGGAATTACACTGTCAGCTACAAGCAAGAATGTTTCTTTCAAATTATTTAATGGCGAAAATTCCCGTGCATGTAGTTTACGAATAAATGATTTCAATCGTTGGGTTCACGTAGTTGGAAGATGGGTAAAGGAATCGAACTACATCAATTTACATGTCGACAACAATATGAATGGTAGTTATACACAATACTCGTTCGATTCAAGTGACCCGTCTTTTTACGATCCGAGATCTGGTAATTATAGTAATGATGAATTGGTTTTGGGACCAATTGAGAAAGTTGGTGGAGGTTATGTTGTCGCTCGGAATTTATCAATTTGGATGCGAGCGATCAATGAGTCAGAATTTGACTATCTCATCAAACAGAGTAAGTAAATGTTATCCACAAGTTGCCACTGTGTAGAACTGATAGAGCTATACTGCCGAATATATAAAGTCAGTTTAGCTTTCTTTTTATACTAACACTGGATTAATAAGGGAAGAATCGTACTGTACATCTAGTACAACATGCAGTTTCGAACAGACACAGTCATCGCTAGTATGAACCAAGTTAGTTTAATTAGCTCGTAGTTGTTTTCCTAGATAATGTTAGAGCTATCCATGCAGTATAAGTAACATTTTATTTCATAGGTAATTTAAGGATAACAAAATCTATTTTTCAGCCGCCCCAAATATACCAGATGATTGGTCAAGTTGGTCAAACTGTACAAGACAATGTGAACAGAAACGCTATAGGGAATGTCCCCGTCGTGATTGCAATTTGGATATTATTGAGACTCGAATATGTTACGACATTGATGAATGTGGTATGTGAGTCTTCTTAGCAAATCTGCTGCAGATATGTAAAAAACAATTTCTGAACAAACAGTCTCAACACAAAGTTATATCAGCTTGTTGAAAAATCATTTTAACAAGACTGGTTCAGGTCTGTAACAACTGGATAACAAATTGGAAGCAATTGGTTGGCGCTCAGCCAGATACCCAACTTGTTGAAACAACTTTTTAAAAAGTCTGCTGCAGCTTTGTAATAACCTGGGGCGAGTTGTACGAAGGCCGGATAGCGCTATCCGTGGTTTCACAGTTTTTCTAGCATTTTTTCAAAGGTTGAAAAAATCACTATCCGGTGGATAGCGCTATCCAGCCTTCGTACAACCGGCCCCTGTATGTTATTAAATGTGAATGCAATACCAAACTGATGCAATCCCAATATTTGTTTATCTCAGGTTTGAGAATGGACTGGCCATTGGAGGACAAAACATTTAGCCGTACTTGCCCTACTTGTCGACAGCTCGTTGCAAGCTCAGCGCTGATTCTACCAATGAATTCAACTGTGAGTCTGGAAAATGAAACATATTTCAATGGAACATGTTTGTCTCAGCCAAATCTTTGCATCAACGGATTGACATTTGGTATTTGGATTTGGTTTGCGGAGTATGACAATAACACTTCAAATGAACCAGAGAGCACAATTTTACAATCTGGTGTTGAGTCAGGAATTACACTGTCAGCTACAAGCAAGAATGTTTCTTTCAAATTATTTAATGGCGAAAATTCCCGTGCATGTAGTTTACGAATAAATGATTTCAATCGTTGGGTTCACGTAGTTGGAAGATGGGTAAAGGAATCGAACTACATCAATTTACATGTCGACAACAATATGAATGGTAGTTATACACAATACTCGTTCGATTCAAGTGACCCGTCTTTTTACGATCCGAGATCTGGTAATTATAGTAATGATGAATTGGTTTTGGGACCAATTGAGAAAGTTGGTGGAGGTTATGTTGTCGCTCGGAATTTATCAATTTGGATGCGAGCGATCAATGAGTCAGAATTTGACTATCTCATCAAACAGAGTAAGTAAATGTTATCCACAAGTTGCCACTGTGTAGAACTGATAGAGCTATACTGCCGTATATATAAAGTCAGTTTAGCTTTCTTTTTATACTAACACTGGATTAATAAGGGAAGAATCGTACTGTACATCTAGTACAACATGCAGTTTCGAACAGACACAGTCATCGCTAGTATGAACCAAGTTAGTTTAATTAGCTCGTAGTTGTTTTCCTAGATAATGTTAGAGCTATCCATGCAGTATAAGTAACATTTTATTTCATAGGTAATTTAAGGATAACAAAATCTATTTTTCAGCCGCCCCAAATATACCAGATGATTGGTCAAGTTGGTCAAACTGTACAAGACAATGTGAACAGAAACGCTATAGGGAATGTCCCCGTCGTGACTGCAATTTGGATATTATTGA